GCTGCTGGGCCTTCTGGGGACTCACAGTCCAGCAGGAAAGGTGGTGGACACTGTACTCACTGAGGAGTCACCCACGGTCCAGGGGCGCAGCCAGGGCATCATTAACCCATCTCACCAGTCAGGAAAGGCTTCGCAGCTGAGGGGATGCCTGGGTTCTCTCTTTCCCTTAACCCAAGGCCATGTTTAACTTCATTAAAATTCATTATTATAGAAGTAACATGCTTTTTCATAAAGGTACATCAAAACAATCAAAAAGTACATGAGATAAGCATGCCATGTAGATGGCGTATTAGATTGTGTATGGTAAATAAAAACATCCATCCATCCCTCTATCTAGAGAATTGTCAAATGATTCATGCCCCACATCTTGCTCTGCAACTTCGTTTTCCTCCCATTTGGAGTATTCTGTGGGCATCTTTTCATGTCAGTTCTTAAAGTACTGCCACATTCTTTTTAACATCCATACGGAACTTCATTGTGAGGATGACTAAGTAGCCCCACTGGCAGCCCCACTGGCAGACCACTGGGTGGTCTTTCAAAAAGTGGATAGAATTTTGTAAACAGGTCAGGGAGAGATGGACAGTTCTGTCTGCGTTATCTGCACGTGTGTGGACTAGGATAGAACATGTGTGTGCATGGCCACTCAGGAGCAGTCCAAGTGTGACACCCCAAGTGTCACCCTCTGCCTTGGGGCAGAGGAAGTGAGGCCGGTGGGAAGCCTCGCAGCCCCCTGAGGGGTGGGGATGTTTTTCTGAAGGTGTTGATGGTGAGGGTAGGGCAGGGGAGGTGTATTTCCGGGATCATGAGGATGGCTTTGGGGAGCCAGTGTGGGAAACCATTCCACCGACTTGGACCAGCGAGGGAGAGCAGAGCTGAGCCATGCAGATAGATCTAGCATCCCAGGAGATGTTGGGATGATGCTGCCAGACCAAGATGGGGGAGGAGGCAGGGGGAGGATGGAGAAGCTGATGGGTTCACTCTTGTCCTCCCGCCCCTTGTTTCAGTCCTCCCCCTGTGATGCCTGATTTGAGGAAGCCATCCTCATCGGCATTTACAACCCCCCCCCCCAAATTATGCCTAATGAACCCCTGTGTTAATGACCTGACAGCACCCCCCACAGCACTCAGGGCAAGTTCAGCTTCAGATGTGACTGTGGGTTATTGAAACCTTAGCTTTTGTCCCCTTGACTTTATTTAAAAGACAAAATGCTACCACTGGTTATCAGGTGCGCTTGTACTTGAAGTTTCAAAGTTTGAAGTGCTGACAAAAGCTGCTCCCATTACAGGGTGAGGAGAGGGCTTCAGAAGCCTGGGCCTAAGTGGACCCAGGGGCACCAAGCGCCCAGGACCACTTGGCTGATGTCAGACCAGCTGAAGCGGGCAGCTCACACTCGTATTTGCTCAGTTACAATCAGCAACTACTTCTTTGTGTAAAATGGTAATGAGGCCATTAGGAGAGGCTCACCTGAAGTGCAGCTTGTGAATCCAAGGTAATTAAACACCTCTGGAATGAAAGGGAAAGGCCAGGGAAGGTTAAGTGAGGAATAATCTGCTGCACAGGTGGCCCCAGAAGAAGCAGCACCCTTTCAAAGGACGGAAATGCTACCCCAGCCCTGGAAGGGGCAGGTGTTTTATCATTTAGTGGGTGGGGAGTGGGCAATATTTTTAACATCTTAGTGGCACGTGTTTTTTTATCAGCTATTTCAAGTTGGAAGTTCCCGGCAGTCTGCCAGTTGCTGAGTGGCCTGCATCGCTCCTCCCAGGTTCTCCCCACAGTAGCACTGGGGCTCATGTGCCCCAGGACAGGGGAGTTGACCTAAGCTGGTTACTTACACTCAGGGCATGAGATGGACTTCTAGCTGCTGCACCAGGAAAATCATCTTTCCTGATCCACCTTTGACGGAGCTGGAGCAGCCACCTCTCGCTGATAGTTCTCACATCTGACTTCTCAGAGAAGGACGGCAGGCCTACCTGCACTCTGTTAACTGAGCATGTGGCCTACTGCTTTAGCAACAGCACGGGATTTCCCCCCGTACAATCGTGCATAGCTTAACTACAGGGGTTCACTCAGGAAAATGAGACATTAACAGATTTCTTAGTTGTGTGAACATCATCGAATATATGTTATCCGAGTAGCACTTCTCCATTTCACCAATCTAAAACCCAAGAGGACATCCTAGAAGAGGAGCTGAGTCATCTGTCACTTCTTGTTGTGCCTGTGGTAACTGGCAGTAGGAATGTGGGAACCAGATTATACCAATGGTCCATCATTGAATTTTATTATCTGGCACGCAATTTTACTCATAAACACTTATTGATCGCTTTGTTTTGTGCTAAGCAGTGTGCTCTGTGAATTTTGGTGTCCTTTCAGTTTATCTTTGTCATACAGGATCTGGCAACAGAGTCTATTACCCAGAATCTCTGCTCTCTCCATGTAAAAGTTTGTACATAAATGTTTGTGGCGGTATCTTCATGATAGCCAAAAGGTAGAAACAACCCATATGTCCATCAACTGGTGAATAGTTAAACAAAAGGAGGTATATCCATATGGTGGAATATTAATCAGCCATGAAAAAGAACAAGGTATCGATAAACATTAAGGCATGGATGAGTCTTGCTCTTAATGAACACCACTAAGTAAAAGAATTCATTCACAAAAGACTGCATGGTTCCATTTCTATGTCCAGAATAGGCAAATCCTGAGGGGAAAAGTAGATGAATGGTTTCCTAGGGTTAGGTAAGGAAGGAAGGGAGGAGGATTAGTGGGAAATGAGAAGTAACTGCCAGTAAGATAGAGCTGTGGAAAGTGGCATTATGAAATGTTCTAGAATTAGATAATAGTGATAGTTGTACAGCCCTGTCAGTATACTAAAATCCCCTGAACTGTGTGCACTTAAAATGATATTTAAAATATGTCTTATGGGCTTTTTTTAAAAAAATCCCTTATCAGGAACTTGGTAATAAGAAATAATATCCAGGGGGCATTTCTAAAATGTAGTCTGTTCCAGAGCAGTGATTACTATTTTTTGAGTTTGTAGGCACTTTTAGGAATCTGAGGGAAACTATGAAGCCTTTGCCCAGAAAAAATGATCATCATTCACATAAAAAATTTATAGATGATTCATGGACCATCTGAATCTAATTTTCTATCTTATCCTTAAATTTTATCCTTAAATAATGTCAAGCCAATTAGATAGTTCTGTATCCAAGCCCTTCCTAAAAAGTGCTATTGTTATGTCACCTGCATGTTTTAAAATAGCCATTAACCTTATATTTCTCTCAAGATGAAGACATAGCCCTTCCCACCCCTGCCCTTCTTTCTGGCCTCATTTGAAGCTCATATTCACCATCATTCTCTCCACTGAAGTTACAGTTCTTTATTCTCTAAACATCTTCTCACCACAGGGTCTTTGCAAAGGCTGTTCCTCATGCCTGGTACACAAGCCCTTCCCTGCATTGCCAAGTTAACTACTTGAGCTCATCCTTCAGAGTTCAGTCTGCTTCTCTTCCCCTCCAGGAAGCCTTCCTTGACCTCTTTGTTGAGCTCTGTTATAGGCTGTATTACAAAAGCAATGTCACGTGAATTGGTATTTTCCTCAATAGAATGTAAGCTTCATGAGGGCAGGACCCATGTTTGATTTTGCTCAGCACAGTACCCTCCACACCTACCACCTGCCCAGACACACAGGAAAGAAGTAATTGTGGAGTAAGTGAGTGACTCAAGAGCACCTCGTTGCCCCTTTTTAGGGGTATTTTCTCATGGGACTCAGTGTGTGTGCCCAGAGGTTGTGGAATGCAGCCCCCTGATTTGAATGGCGCCATATTAGAAACAGACCAGGCAGCTTGGCACTCTAACAGCAGCTGTTTCTCCGTTGAAGACTCATGAGAAAAGTTTAGACTTTGCCTATGTCGCTTTCAGGAAAATCTGTCCATTTGTGCAACTAGTTTATTACACATGATCTCAGGAATCTTGCAACTTCTCATGTTTCCTGTTTTGCTTTGTTTAGGAGACTCTTATTTCAATTTGTATTCCATTGTTAGCTACTCTGAGACCATAAGACTTACCTATTCCTACTCTTTTTCACCATGGAATGCCATGGTTTTCTTGTCTGTTTTGTTTTAACCTATAAATATATGTCTATAAGTGCTACTATTCCTTTAAAGTATGAGTGTGGAGTACATGATATATAATTGATAATTATATTTATCAACATAATATATTGTCAAATAAGCCATTTCTAAAATCAGTGAGAAATTTGAAGAGGGAGTAAAACTGGACCTCAAAATCTTTGTGCAGTTTGGGCTTAGATTACAAAACCTCATATTCTGGCTTGGCTGCTTTTTAGCTTTGTTCCCAAGTACGCAAGCTAACCTCTGAGACTGTTGATACCTTTACACCCATGTAAAGTGGGAACACTAGTTCCTCCCTTGCTGGATCATTTAAATAATTTAATTAGGTCTCCCTGGTGGTGCAAGGGGTTAAGCACCACACTACGAAGCAATCCACAGCCTCTGCATCACGAGTTCAATCCCCGGCCAGGGAGAAACCCACATGGCGAGGCAGACCTCTCCTGTCTTGCCCTCTGCTCCCCTCAGCAGTGTATTTCAGTCAGTCTGCCTATTCTGTTCCCCACTCTGTCTCTGATGGATCCTCTTACCCCCCACATCTCTGGCCTGTACCCCAGTTCTTATATGCATAAATAAATAAATCTTTAAAAAAATTAAAAAAATAATTAAATTAGAAATTTTTTGTGAAAGCAGTTACCTGGCACATTGTAACTGCTTAGAAAGTTGCTTTTTCTGTTTTTATTAAATCTGCCCTAATAGGAGCAATATTTGCCGAAACTTCAGAAACCTTCCCTAACGTGAATGAACCTTGTCCTCCTAGCAGCTGAGGTGCCAAATCAGTGCCTTCCAGGGTTGCGCGGTGTGCCCTGGTCTTAGCCAGCCGGCCTCCTCCACCCTGGCCTCAGCCTGTGTCTCCTCTCTCTCTGTCCCCAGATCTCTTCACTGAAGAACCGGCTGAAGAAGGTCTCCACCACAACCGGCGATGGGGTGGCCCGAGCATTCCTCAAGGCCCAGGCAGCTTTCTTCGGCAGCTACCGAAATGCTCTGAAGATTGAGCCGGTGAGTCGCTTCCTGGCTTGTCAGGAACCATGTTGGTTCGGGGTCCAGAAAGTAAATCAGAGGCCACGAGAGACCCACGACTCACCAGGGTGTTGCAGTCACCTGAGGAGGGTGTGGGTGCTGGAGGTGGCCCTGTGTGAGGTGCTCAGGGGAGCCTTCGGGCCCTTTTCCTCCCCAGACAGCAGCACCCACAGCAACTGTGCATCAGTGTCCCACCGGCCCAGCCCCACACCTGCCCCCTCAGGGCCCACGGTGAGCCTGTGAGGCAGCAGCGAGCATGATGGTCTCTCCACGGGCTCAGAGAAGAGACATGTCTGGCTCACAGTGAAGGAGCCAAGGAGTCCCCAAGCCACACTCCCCTGCTGTGCCTCTCTGCCCTCTTCCTGTAAAGGGACTTTTCCCCCACCCTCGCTTGAGAAGGTAAAGCACCCCAGAATTCATTTCTCAGAGGCTTCCAATGTGGTCTTGGTGTAAATGACTGCAGAGTACACTGAGGCTGGGAAGGAATGTTCTCGCCTCCGTGGGCCTCCAGCTCTCCTGAGCCTCTGTTACCTCAGCGCTGCTGTCTGCCTGCCCTAGGAGGTGATTAGTTATTATAAGGATATGAAGATATGAGGTCTTGCCCAAAATCAAAGAAAGTACCAATTCTCCCAGCTTCCTTCAGAAGCTGTCCTCTGGTACTCAGCCTGTTCTTGACCAAGGACAATGAAGGGTTTGGCCTGGAACCTGTGTCTCTGGGAGAGACGGTTGGAGGGAACCCTTCATCCCGAGCAGGTGATAAAGGCAGCCTAGTCAGAGCAGGGAGCTCGCTTTGGTTTTGGTTTTCCCATCCAGTTTTATTAGGTCAAATGACAGAAGATGTGTGAATGTCAGCCAGTGGTTCCATGTGCAGACTCTGATGGTGAATCTTGGTCACGCTTCCTCATGACCATAGTTAAACATTGTTAAGCATTGTTAAACATTGTTTAAACATTGTTTAAACACATTGTTGTGTTTTTTACTGCAATGGCTCCTCCATGCGCCTGAGTGAAACACAGAGTAAAGCAAACCTAGAGAAATGGGGGGTCAGCATCCTCCTTGTTCCTGGCTTGCCACCAGCACTTAGCCCTTCCAGGCAGCCCAAACTCAGGAAATGTCGTGGTCACATCACAGGAGAGCGGTGCATTCTTTGGCTTCCTAAGAAGTACTTCCATAAGGTCCTCTAAAGTACTTCAGCTTAAAGCAAGATCCCCGTGTCCTGCCTCTCAGAGAGGCAGCTCTGATTCTTTGTCATGACTTTGGACCCAGCCCAACTGATCCGATTCAGTGCTCTTTTGAGAGTTGGCAAAATTCAAGAAAAATTCTGTTGTCTTCGCATCTCTGCAGTGGGACTGGGCCAACTGGCTGTGTCCTTTCCTTAGGTTGCTGGAAATTGACAGGAAGGAAGATTGTCACCCTTACAGGGATCTCAATTTGTCTAGAGTCCAGAGCTATTGAATCTTGGTTCCCATTGCTAGGTATGTGATCTGAGGTCCTCCTCAGGAGTTGATGGCTGCACGTGCACTTGGCTCTGAAAGGCAGTGTTTCAAGGATGGAAGCCCTAGAGTTTAAATCCTCTCTCTTTACTTCTACACTGTATGACACTGTATGACCTTGAACATGCCACTTCAGCTCTTTAAACCTCAGTTTCTTCACTTGTAGAATTAGGATAAGAATAGCTATTATCCTCCCTCTCCAGGTGGGTGTAAGGGCCAAAGAGCCTTAAATCATTCCATGGGAAAGGTGAAACTTGACCAGGGTCTGATGGGTAAGGTTTCGAAAAAGACGCATCCCTTCCTGTAGTAGGTGTGGACTCAAGTGAGTGAGCCCAGGCTTGGAGGCAGGATGCCTCATGGCCACTTAGTCTGGAGTAATGAGTTCAGTAGAGAGGTGGGTGCAGAAGAAGTTGAAATCAACTTTGACGGAGCAATGGATGCTGGGAATGTGATGCAGAGATGAGAAGTGACTGAAATCATGTTTGAGGGGTAATGCAGCCATGAACTACAGGGAAGCTGGAAGTCCAGGGACTTTTTGGGACTCAGAAGAGAGCCCCCTCTGGTTACACCCAGAAAAGCTGCCATGAGGAAGAAATGATGAGGCTCAGAAACAGATAAAATATGGAAGATGAGGAACAAAAAAGTCAAACTGCCTCCTGTAATTTGGGCCTGGAAGATGATGAAGATGCCCATAACAGAAAAAAGGAGGCTTAATGCAGGCACTTCCAGCAGCAGTGTTTATAATGGTAAAAAATTGGAAAAGACCAAAGTTTCCATAACAGACATCAGGTTAAGTAAATTAAAGTACATCCATATGGTGGAGTATTATATGGTCATTAAGAGCAGCATTCTGAGACTAGCATGGCAGGTTTGATTGTACATTTCACTGAATGGTGCATTTGATGGTACATTTCACTGAATCTAAGTTGCATTTGGGGGTAAGACACGCTGTCATTTTATGTGCCATGAAGAAAGAGCAGTGCACCTTCATTGTCACAAAGTGTGCCATCAACTGCACAACCCACCCAGGCTTCAGAGATGTTACAGTGTGCAGGGGTCTGTGTCTAGAAGGACACGTGACAGATATGTGGCGCTTTCAATCCTGTTCACCTGCCAGATGACTTCTGTCAGGTCATGAGAGAAGCCAGAGGGCCTGAAATCACCAGCACCATCATCAGCAGGTTTCCTGGATGGGTTTTGCACCATAGATTTAATTCTAGCCAATTCTCAACCCCATAAATGGGATAACACCTCCTTTATGAGATTGTTTTGGGGGTAAAATAATGACTGCAAAGCATATCTGAGCCTGAGACCGTGTGAAGGGTGGAGGCCCGCAGTCGGGAGTCTGGGCTGTGCTGGCTGGGCAGTGGTGGCTGGAGTAAGCCCATGGGGTGGTGCGCAGGACACTGGTGAAGGGACTAGGTGGCCTTCCTGGGGCCTCTTGTCTTCCAGTTGCTTGTCTGGTTGTAAAAATAGCACCTGTTCTTGGTTTTATAAAAATGTTTAAAGTGACAGCAGTAGAAATGAGAAAGCATCCTGGTCATGTCATCTGGAATGTAGGTGATTTGATAGTGTGTTTCCAGCTAGGGTCTAGATTTTGGGTTTATTCTTGTTCATCCACCTTGTGTTTTTGCTTTTCTCCTCTCAGACATTTGCGATATCCCTGGCAATACAATCCGGTCCCCACTTATTTGTTTTTGCATTTTAGTGTTCTGTAACCATGTTTTCACATCATATAAAAACTCTCCTTAAATGTCATTTTTAAGGGCTACATATATCTCCCCAGGTAACCCCGATAGTTCTCGGCTCTGGCTGGGGTGTCAAAATCACCTGTGGGGCTTTTAAAGAGGCAAATGTCTGGACCCCACTTGCAGAGATTTCTCTCAGCTTCCTGCAACCTGAAACCAGTGCCGGCCCCACCACATGGTCCTACCTGGGTCCTTGTGACTTTTGGTAACTTTTGATCATTTTAAAAAACACAGAAGGTGAACATCTTTATGTAACTCTTTATGTGCTGTCTGAATTAGTTCCTTAGGCAGATTCCCTGATGTGGAGCCACAGAGCCAGAGGATCTGAGGAGGTTTAAGGCCTTGATCCACAAGGTGAGGGAGGAAGCTGCTGGCCAGAAATAGGTGGCATCTTAGGGGACAGAACTGTCCAGGTGGAGGGCGAAGAGAGGAACGGGGTTCAGAGAATTGTGTGGCTGCTGAAGGCACCCCAGCATCATGGGACCCAGGAGGCAGTCTTGGGACCCAGGTCACTGCAAAGTCAGAGTTTTGTCTTTTTTTTTTAAAGACACAACACGGTAGACTTGACTGTGTTCCATACTACTCTGCTCCCAGAGCTGTGGGGAGCCCTGGGGAATGGCTCCTGATAAGCCCCTGGATGCCCTGCCTGGCTCTGTAAGGAGTAGTTGAGCCCCAGCCTGAGAGGCAGAGATGGGCAACCCCTCCTCACAGCAGGGACTGGAAACCCAACCCCCACCACTATCCCAGCCCAGCCCAGAGCTCACTGGAGAATTTTAATTCCTTGGTCTTTATTTTCTTTTCTGCTGGAAAAAAGAAAGGTCAAAATGCAACTGACTGAGGAGTCTCAAGCTTGGTCTTCTTTCCAGGCCTAGAAGGGAAGAGGAAGGTAGCCCTTTGCTCTGACCATGTGCCAGGAGCTGAGCTGCTCCTCCCCATCCTTGCCTTCTGACCTGGTCCAGAATGGGGAGAGCCTGCGTTGGCTCCCCAGGGGTCCTCCTCCTCAGGGCCAAGCGAGTGCCTCCCAGGGGTCAGGGCATGCGCTGAGATGGGGCTGTGGGTATTCAGCCACAGCCATGTCTCCCCAGTCAGAGCTGGGTTTATCTCCAAGTGGCTTCACTTATGTGACTGTCCCTTCCACAGAGTGGGGATGGAGGTCAGGTCACTTCCAGGAAGTAAGAGAGCCTGGAGTTGACTGGGGCCGGCCTGCTGCCCAACCCAGGTTGCTTGTGCCACACCCTCTTGACTGCCTTTGTTCTGGTCTCCACATGTTCCACATACACAACTCTCTTTGCCTTGCCAGCACTGGGCAGTGCTGGTGGCATAGTGTGGGTATCCATGAGGATATTTTGGAATAATGGCTGGAAAGATAGATGAGGAAATAAGGGACCAGGGAAGCATAGGGGCCAGGCTGGCCCTCAGCCTCTGTTCAGTGCGTATTCACCACCTCCTGCCCTGTCTTTTGGCCCTGGAGATTGGTGCTTCCTGGCAGAGGGGAGAGTGTCTGCAATCCACAAGGGCACGTGACCCACTTTTCAGTCACCCAGAGAATATCAGGTGCAAAGCCCAAGATATTTAACAATATGAGCCAAGCCAACTTGTTCTTCTCCACTTAAATGACAGAACCCCAAGCAGCCAGGCAGCCCCATTCAGAAAAACCCCCTTTATCCATGTCAAGCAGCAGCTCAGGCTCCAGCTCATTTATTTAGGCCTTTCTTGCTCTCTCACACGCCTCCTAGCA